AGATCGTGAATGAAGGGCCTGGCTAGACCCAAGTGTGCTGTGGCCATGGCCTTCCTCCCCATCCTGTGTTTGGTGGCACTCTGCCTGCTTCACAGATCAGTTCTTCTATTTCCATCCCCTTCTGCAGTAAATCATGCTACCAGCAGTACGCAGTTCCCACGCTGAAAACCTGCCCTGCTCGCCTCCTGCTTTCCCCTACTGTGCCCGCCTCCCTCTCCTCCAGATCATTCATAAAGTCTGCCTAAGTCTTACCAATTGCTGGCTTGTGATTCCTCTCAATCACCTTGACCTTGGCAATAACTTTCACGTCTCTGTCAAATCACCAGAACATTTGACACTCTATGAAGAGCTCGGAGGCAGAGGCTGGAGGATTTCAAGGTAGGGATTGATACAGCATAGGAAACAAAGCTGCCTTTGTGGAGTGCAATAGGAGTGAGCAGGCACTGTGTAAACAATGTGCACAGACCTCTCCCAGATCAAGATAGCCAGAAACAATGCACACCCAAAGTGGCTTCAAGGCCACATACTTCCCCTTTCTCTCAGTAATCCTCTGCTCTGGTAACTTCCTGCTTCAGGCACCGGCCTGAAAGACCTTTGCTCAGGGACTGAAGGAGTTTCCTTGTGAAAAAATAATTATTACTTTTTATTTAAGTGATAAGAAAACAGAGGCTTGGAGAGGTTAGGTAGCGTGCCAAATGTCACAAGTGATGAAACCTTAGTGTTAGCACAGGTAACCTGACTTTGCAGGCCTCATGTTTTGCCATTCATACTAACGTAAGAAGGACTAGCAAGGCCCTTGCACAGCAGCAAACCTTGTGGCAGTAGGAGAGACAGATGGAAACAAAGAGCTGATGTAGAACATGGTACTTAAGTTAATTCGTCATCATAGATATTCTGGAGCCCAAAGGAAGACCTGGTCAGCTGTGTTCATGACCTCTGCACACTTCAGTCTGGTATTTGCAGGGTATCTGTAGTCGTCAATCACTAGGTCTAAATATTTCCATAAGAACACTAAAAATACTATACAGCTGGGGAAAGGCCCAGTGGAAGGATCATGTCTAGTAATTCTGGCTCTATACCTAAAGTTTTTCTTCCGCACAGTACAGATCTGTTTAACCTGCAACTAAAATAATGAGCAGGTTCTGGGGAAGGGTGATGACCTTGGATCTTTAGTGACATTGAAAAGGTCTTTCTCCTTTTAAAGAGGCTATAGTAGGAAGTCTCAGGTCACAGTAATAATTGCCACAGAACCATCTGTCAGCTTTCTTCTCTCTTGAAAAAGCACTGGTCTGTCTAGCAGGTCTTGGCTGCCGTTTCCATGGGAGCACTGCATGGGGATGATTCTGAAGCTACATCTGTCCTTTCCTCTCTCATTCATTTCTCAGCATGTTAGGACTTTAATCAGAAATGTCCCCATTGGGTTCCCAGTTAGAACACTCAGATTCCAGTTTATGGTACAATTTTGAAGGCCATGGATCTTTCAGGAGGCAGGGCCTACTTGGTGGAACTAAATCAGTAGGGCCTTTGGAGGTTGTACCCACTGCTGGCTTAGACTATCATGTTCTGTTCTTCTCGGCATGCACATTGGGAACCCTCTACCACATACTTCTGCTGCCATGACTTCTCTTGTGTGGGGGACTGAAACTTCTCTGAAAACCATGAGTCAAAATAAAAACCTTCCTCTTTTAGGTTGTTTCTGTCAGGTCTTTTGTAAGAGCAATGAAAAAAAGAGCAACTCCTGCACATGTGTTAAGCCTTCATTTCTTCTAAGTACAGGGCTTGAAGCGAAATAAGAAACAGTCCTCACTCTGTTGGACACTTAGTATTCCTATCAGGGCAGGAAGAACAAAGACACTGGGCCCCAAATATGTCAACCATTATTCCAGCTCTAGAATTATAGTAGTAGCTGTATAATCTTCATGAGTTAGTCACCTGTCCTCTCTGTACCTCGAATATTCATGGAGGAATAATATTCATGGAGAATAGTGTCTGGCACATAAAATGCTATAGGTATGCATAGGTCGAGTCTCCCTTATCTGAAATGTTCAAGGCCACAAGTATTGCAGATTTGTTTTTAAATTTGGAAATCTTCCTATATATATATGTGTTGCTGTTGGCTTTTTATTCCTTTCTTCTTTGACTTTTTGGTCTTTTTTGCTGAGTCTACCACCCAATTCCCAAATAAATCTCACAGGGAGGTTTATTCTTAGTTATGAATATTTGGCCTTAGCTTGACTTGTTTCCTGCCAGATTTTTCTTAACTTATATTATCCCAACTTTTTTTTTGTCTCTGGACTTTTACTTCTTTTTCCATGGCTTGCTGTATAGCTGGGTTGCTGGTCCCTGATGTCCTCCTCTCCTTGTTCTAGCTTGCTCCCTTCTCTTCCTTGGTTGACAAAGTTAGGAGACGCCATGAATCCTCCACCTGAGACAGATGGCAGTTAGAATCTTCACTGGTAAGCCACTGCCACGTGACAATATACAAATTAATAGAAATAAGAGTTAGCCAATAGGAAGTTAGAGCTAGTGGGCCAAGCAGTGTTTTAATTAATACAGTTTTCTGTGTGATTATTTTGGGGCTAAGCTAGCCAAGCACCTGGAATGAACAAGTGGGCCCTCCTCCTACAAATTGGCGCACCAACGTGGTCAACTATATCCATTTAAAACCTGAGAAAGCTTGGAAAAAAATTTTAGAGACAAAAATACAGAGTTTAAGAGCTTCTTGCTGTTTGCAGGCAGTGTGCCACAGCTCCTTTAAGAGTGGTTTTTCCTGACTCAGCCATAGCAAAAGAAAAAAAGCCACACAGTTTTAAAATGCTGGCTTTCAGGGATATTCTGCTAGTGCAACCTCCGATTCTTGCAAAAGACTGAGCATTTGGATGGGGTTTGTGAGCAGACTGCTGTAGCTTGCTTAATGGTGGCATGGACTGGCTGTGTGCCTAGAAGTGGGGCAGTGCATATTGCTCAGAGGCATGAGCGGCTCCTCCATGCTGGACTGGGCAGGGCAAGCAGGCACTGACATATTACCTGAGCAATGATGCAGCTAAAGTTTTTAAGAAGCACTTAGCATTTTAAGAAGTGCTCCTGGACAGTAAAGAATTACAGATACACAATAAAGACAAATTCAGATTGAAAAGAACTCTAAATGGGTCATAGTGTTGGATCAATGTATGCAGGTTTGGGAGAGAGAAGTAAAAGAATATAGTCATAAAATAAAGTTAATGCTTTAAAAACTGTTTTTAAGAGACGGAGTACAGACAGTCATAGATTAAAAAGAGTAGAGAAAAATAAGCCACGTAAAGATGAAATATACGCATAGAGTCTGGATTATGTATATTATTGTGTTTTCTTTGAATTTTTTGACTGTGAAGGAGCTAAGTACAGAGAGACATTTCATTGTATGGGTTCCTAACCAGCATGTATATCATAAAGCTATAATTACTTCCAAACTTGGGTCTAAGGATATGTTGCTTTGGAAAAGAGATTATACTTTTGTTTACACAGAAGATGAGAATCTGTGTATTGTTTCTAGACCAATATGGTTTCATAGGCCATGCCCCCCTGAATGGTTGCCATGAACACCCTCAAAAATTACTTTATCCAAGTGCTGACTGAGATGAACCTAGCATACAGGATACACCATGAAAAACCTGATTGACAGAGCCCCCAAATAGCAGGAAGCAGGATAAAACTATATCCATATTCCCAAATATGGTTTATAAATGTTCTTTTACATTTAAAGTGGGATATGACATAGATATGAATAATTTGCATTGGTATGGATCTTGGTTTATTGACGCAAATTTAAGGTCAATTTTGTTATGTATGTATATATATATTAATTGATTTTTAAATAATTTATTTAACTTTATTTTATGTGCATTG